CCAGTGAGTCAACCTCGGAATAATCCGAAGTAAATAGCGCACACTGCACAGAGGGTGTCACACATAGTGAAGGAGTGACACTGAGGTCAGGAAGTCCCCGTGTCTCGCTGCCTTCCAAGTTATTAATGAAAATATGGGGCCTGGCCCTCTTCCAAACCTCCCCACGGCTGTCACCATGGCACAGCAGTTGTGAAGAACTGCCTCAGTAGCCAGTGGGAACCCGAGTGCTCTGCAGACCCACAGGCACCACAGAGCCCCAGCTGTGGGGCCAGCAGGCTGGGGCTCCAGCCAAACACCATGTCCCTCTTTTCCCCCAGCCTCATGTTTGCATGGAGCCGTGGGATACAAAGGCAAGGAGCAGTGAGGAGCTCCCAATCAGGAGGCCTGATTCTGGCCTTGCCACAGGTAAAGACTCCTCTGTGACCTTGCCTTCTTGTCTTGGCCTCCGTTTCCCTACTAGAGAATCAAGAATGGAAACTTCTAGTCAACATGGTAGACATCAATGAGCCAAATCAGCACTAAGTAAATACATAAATAAGAAGCAGGAGGAGACAAACTTTTACAAGAGAAAGGCACCTAATAAATGCAGAAGGACTGAACAAGTTAGAGTCACCATCTTGCAACAATATTGCAACAATAATAGATTTAGGTAAGACTCTTAAAAGAATGCTGAAGCCACTGCGTGAAAATTTACTGGGGCTAGGATATTAGCACAGGGTCAAAATATTGGCCCACAAGACATAAATGATTGCAAATTTCCTTAAAAGCTAATTTCCACTGGGAAAACCTTGCAGACACCACTGTAGCTCAGTGATCCAAGTGAGCTCCCCATGGTAGGACCTGTGGCATTGTCAGTCTTTTGATGTGCTGCCTCAGTGTCGCTTTCATGGTGTTCACGTCGAAACTCAGGACCTTGTGATGAGAAAACATCAGACAAGTCCAAATCCAGTGACACCCTGCAGAACAACTAAAGAGTGCTCTTCAGAAGTGTGAAGGGCATGAAGACGGTAAAGACTAAGGACTGTCATGCATCGGAGTTAATAAAGTCCAACTAAATGCAATATGGGATCCTGGGTTGAATTCTAGAACAGAGAATGAATGTTAGTGGGGAAAAAAACTGGTAAAATTTAAAGGATGCCTGTTGTTTACCAAATAGTATCAGAAACTACCAAATAGTTCCGAGGTTTTGACAAATGTACTCTAATTACATAAACTGCTAACAGAGGAGGCCACATGAAGCTGGTAAGAAGGAGCTGTGTGTTATGGCGACTTCCCATGCTGCCAGCTTTAATATGATGTCTTGATCTTTATCACCTCTGGTTCTCAAGGCCGTTGCTGCAGTTCCAGGCTTCACATAAGCTTTCTCAGTGGTAGCAAGAGAAAAGATAGTTCTTTTCATATTTGTTTTAGACACTGACCTAACAGACTGAGAATCTGTACTGAGACCAGATTCTGTGTGGAAATACCAGGCCCCAAGTTAGGTCCCAACAAATGAGACTCCAGATTCACAGAGCTATGTCTGGTAGAAAGGCCCTCGCCTATTGGCCCTGTCTGGTTTGAGTACTGTTGAGTCAATCTGCGATCAGCCATACAGTGTGACCCCCACACTGTCGGCACCAGACTAGTTCTCAGACCCACTGTCCTTGAGCAGAGGCTGAGAAAGGGGCAGGGAGGGAAGTGAGGTCACACAGCAGGCAGAGAGGTGCCCTGTCCCATGCACCACCCCCAGCTGCCAGCACCTCCCTTTCCTCTAATTCGCCCTCTTCCTCCTGCTCACCCAGTCAAGTTATCTCTCATTACATCGGTTCCTCCAGCTCCAAAGAAGGAACCCCATTCTGATACCAGTGTGATCAGAGAACCATGAAAACAAATCTTTTCCAGATTTCCTGGCAGCTCAGCAGCGCAGCTAAATTCTGCCAATTGAGAGGCGAGGGACTTTTAGGGTAAGGTCCTCTCAGGGGAGTGCATGCCTTTACTGTCCTACCTGCTGCTGTTTGGAATGTGACACAGGTGAACGCCCACCTCGGATGACGATGGTAAGCGCTCAAGGGAGAACATTATGGACAGATGGGACTAAGCAGGTTCCACATTTCTACGGAACACCCTCACCAACTCTGCTTATGAGCATCAGTGGGTCAGACAGAGAAACGTCCAGCCTCTTGGAGCCTTTTCACTTTGGCTGTCTGTCACGTGCATTCACGCCTTCGCCCTCATTAAGACCAGCACCTGCCCTGTGCCAGGCATTGCATGCTCGTCTGCGTCAAGATCCCCAGAGCCCAGTACGAGAGAAGAAATGCAGGTTTACAAGTCAGGTCACTTGTTCTGGGTCACAAACTGGTAAGTGGCCAGGGAAGAACAATCCTTGACCCGGGCCCATCCCTGGAGGACACAACTGGCAGTTCCATGTTGGCTGTATATCTTGTTCCGTTGAGAGTGCCAAGACATTGACCTTGTGGTAGTCAAACTGAGTGGGTTTGATGACACTTAGTGCCAGGTGACCTTAAGTAATTGGCTTAGTGCCTCTGCACATTGTCACAGCTTACTGGATGTTTGTAAGGCTTGAGTAAGACAGAGATGGTGTCAGTACTGCACCTGACACACTGTGGGTACTAAAACAAAGGCCAGAGCCACTTTGGGGCAAGTCCAAGAGGCCACCCAGGGAAACCCAAAAGGAAGACAAGGACCCGTGAGATGAAGGAAGAGGGGACAAAGTTGTGGGGGCTGGGCATCTTACTCTTTCACTTCCACCCATCCCGGTCTGTTGCGGAGGACGTCCATGAGAGTGTTCATAAGAGTGGTCTTGAATTGAATTGATGCTCTTTGCTCTCTGCAAGACAAGGCAACAAAAGACTTGCTCAGGATCAGTGATTTCCCTAGGAAATGGCCCAGAGATAGGACAAAAGGGAAGGAAGAAAGGTCAAGTTCACACTTGGAAATGATAGAGACAGAATTTCTGAATTTCAGAATTTAGCATCATGGAATGATAACAGTTCCAGTCATCAAATTGAGAATTTAAAGAATCATTGAACCATTGAAAAATAGCAAGCATTTTATCCACTGCTCTATGTGCTGTACATGTTCTATGACTGATTCTTATATGACATGGCATTTGCAGACACCATGCACCTGGGAAGATAGAGCAGGTGTACTTTTCCCCATTCCTCCTACTGATACATCCCCAAACCCAGACACCATATAAAACGACCATAAGAAGACTGGAAGGTAGAGAAGAATGGACTTGCAAGGAGTCTCAGGACCAAAGGACTGACATAGAGGTGAATTCCTACTTTTCTTTTTACCTCATATATCCCCAATATGGAGACGGAAAGGCCAACGAACAAAAAGCTCCAACAAAATCCAGCTCTCTCTACCTAAAGGACCAGGAAAAGAGCAACCTAGCACAACCGAAGACAGAGTAACTACTCACTCCAGCTGAACCCCACAAAAAACATCTGTGCCCCACCCCTACTTATGCCAGCAAAGCCCGAGTGGGCAGTCTAGACTTCCTGTGAGATTGGGACAAGATACCCCAGTGCCTCTGCTGGAGAGGTTCTGAGAAAGACAAGGACAATGCTGCACTTTCCTCCTGCCAGGTAGTAAGGAGAACCCATTCCCAGTCATCAAGGACCACGTTGTTGGCACCTGACTTCCTTCCCCAGGAGATGTCCTTGTTACTCTGGGGTGATATCAAAGGAGGCCTAGTGGAGAGGTGGAGATCCATAAAACTGAAAACAAAAATAATAAATAAAATAAAAGGCAGGTTCTTAGGGATGATCAATAAAATTGACAGAGCTGTTTGTCAGCAAAACTGACAAAGAAAACAGAAGACAACAGGAAGAATGACCCCACAGACATCAGACCACTAGTAAATGTCTGGTGACACCACTGAACACCCAAATGTGATGGCCAGGAGATGTGGGCCTTGAAGAGCATGCATTGGTACAACTCACCCACTGTGAGATCGACCATTTGAATAGCTCTGTAACTATTAAAGAATATGAATTCATAATTTTAAATTTTCCAGAAAAAGACATCTCCCGGCCCAGATGAATTCACTAGAGAATTTTCTTAAATGTCCAAGAAGGCTCAACCCCACTTCTACACAATCTCTTCTTCCAGAAAAGGGAAGAGGAGGGAGCCTTCTGAACTCATTTTGTGAAGCTAATGTTAGCTTGCTGTCAAGATCAGACAAAGACAGTACACAAAATAAAAATACAGATGAGAGGCCGAGGATGTAGCTTAGCAGTAGAACGCTTGCTCAGCATGTGAGGTCCTGGGTTCAATCCCCAACACAAGAGAAAGAGAAGGAGAAAGAGAAAGAGGAGGAGGAGAGGAAGAGAAAGAAGAAGGGAAGGAGGAGGAAGAGGACGAGAATGAGGAGGAAGAGGAGGAAGAAGAAGACATTGTAACTAAATGGATTTTCCAGTAGGCAATGTTCAGTTTTAGAAAATCAATCAACTTTATCTGTCACGTTAGTAGACTAAAGAAAATTCACATGATCATATAAATTGATGCAGAAAAAGCACTCCCAGAAGTCCCACCTCTGAACATCATAGATAAAATTTCTACACTCTTATACCATTAACGTAATGGAGATGAAACTCCTGAATGAGTTGGGGGACTATACTGAAATCATAATCGATGTATATTGTAACCCCCTAGAGCCATGTGTCTGAGTATTGCTGTGGCCTCCCAACTCCGGGAAGTACACAAAGTCTTCCCTTTCCAAGCTACATATTTTTGTGAGGCTGGATTTTCTTCCCATCCTTCAAACAAAGCAACATATCACAAGAGATTGAATACAAAAGATTTGGAAGGCCAGACTAACATGCAAAACAGACACTACTCACCTCAGTAAATTTAAGGTGAGGAATACAAATACAGTTCATAGAAATATGTTGTGTTAGCTACCATGTAATAAGTAAATTATTGTTTTTAGTAAGTATTTACATTTTTATCAGTTTAATTTTCTAATACGGTAAATATTGATAGATACACATAAATTAATTGGGTCCACAAAAATGTTTAAATTATAAAGGATCCAGGGCTCACATTTTGAGAACCACTGTTCTAAAGCAGCTATTAAGTAAAATAGGAGGTTTAGCTAAAAATCAAAAAGGGAGACCAAGTGGAATACTAAAGATACTCAATCCAAAGCAAGAAACACAAACATTTCAAAATTTATCAAATTGGAGAAAAAAACTTCAAATACCAAGTGCTCACACAAAAGTGGAGGAATGATAATTATCCTACAATGCTGATGGAAATGCAAATTGGATAAGCTTTTGAGAGCAATGTAGCATATCAAAACCGTCAGATTCTATATCACACACATTAGACTGGCAAAAACCTAAAAGTCCAAGTTTGTTCTGTTTTGTCTGAAGTGGAGTCTTACTATGGTAGCCCAGGCTGGCCCAGAACTTGTGATCCTCCTGCCTTGACCTCCTGAGCACTAGGATTGCAGGCGTGTGCCACGATGCCCAGCTTGAAAGTCCAAGTTTTGACAGCACTGAGATGAAATGGAAACCCTCCTTTGCTGGCAGAATGTGCAAATCCTGAACTCAGCCACTCTACCCTGGGTTTCCACCTACACATGGACCAGAAACACACATACAAGGATATTCACCTATAATTGCTAATATTTTCTACAGGAAGAACTTACAGCATACACCACTGGAGGTCTGCCCATATCCCCTGGGCATTCTTCAATTCTGTGCCTGCCAAACAGAGTGCTTTCCATCACCAGCCATGGCAACTCTGCCTGAGGGCTCGCTGTCTCTGGCCCCAGAGCTTGCTCAGCCTGCACTTGGGGCAGAACTGTCAGGGGGGTACCTTCTGCAGCAGCCTTACCCCCCACCTCCCAGCACTCCCTGGGATCACCTCCCAGACCAACTGTGGCTCTCACAACCCTATCTCAGGGTTGGCTTCCAGGGGAACCTGTGGTAGGCTGCAGCACAAGTGCCTTTCAACAGGAACGTGGGTAAATATCTTGTGATGAACAGTTTACAGTCAGTACTTCTGGAGCTGACTGCACCAGCATGGAAAAAACACTGAAAATGTAACCGGGTGTGACAAAAGCGGAGTGTAGAGTAGAAGCAACAGGATAGTGTCACTTGTGTGACTTACATTCCAGGTGATGGGTGGCCATGTGATGCTATTCTTTTCCACAAGACAAAAACATGAGACTGCTAGGAAGGGTGGGTTCCTGGGAAAGTTTTTTTCTTTCAACAGAGAGAAAAACAGAGATACGGCTTCAGTTTCCCTGCCCCTCCTCCTGTCTTGATCATGGCTGTAAAGCAGGGGCCGCAATAGCCACTGAGTGACCATAAGGAAAAGGTCAAAACAATCACAAAGATGCTGGCTCTGACTTTATCTACTCCCTCTGCAGCAGACTCTGGTCTCTTTGTGATGTGAGGCAAATAAATACCATTGTCTAAAGTACTATTCACTGTGTGTTCTGTTACTTGTAGCCAAACACATTTCTAATTGATATGTGCCTAATAAAATAGATGGGTGTGGGCTGTTGACTGGAGTGCTCTTAATTTGTTAGGGTGGGCGAGCAAGTCTGGGGAGGGTCTGGAGCAGAGCTGAGTTCCCCTGCGTGGGAGGGAAGAGATAGATCTGAGATGGGTGCGGGTAGAGTCTGTACAGAGAAGGAAGAAAAAGATAGTGCCTGAGAGAGAGGGCCAGAGTCCACAGGCCCTCCTCAGAGATGGCACTTCCAGGAGTCTTGAGAGAGAATGGAAATAGCTAAAAACTGGAGATGGTGTGTGCAATGTAAACTGCAAACATCATCAAGAAAGTTCACGGTTCATCTGTGCTTTGTGCAAGCAGATTGTTTTTTCAGTACTGGAGACTGACCCCAAGGCTTTTGCACTGAGCTACATCCCAGCCCTTTGTAACTGTGACAGGGTCTTACCAAGTTGCTTAGGTTAGGCTTGATCTTGTAATCTTCCTGCCTCAAGGGGGTAGAGTCTGTACAGAGAAGGAAGACAAAGATAGTGCCTGGGAGAGAGGGCCAGAGCCCACAGGCCCTCCTCAGAGGTGGCACTTCCAGGAGTCTTGAGAGAGAATGGAAATAGCTAAAAACTGGAAGATGGTGTGTGCAATGTAAACTGCAAACATCATCAAGAAAATTCACGGTTCATCCGTGCTTTGTGCAAGCAGATTGTTTTTTCAGTACTGGAGACTGACCCCGAGGCTTTTGCACTGAGCTACATCCCAGCCCTTTTTAACTGTGACAGGGTCTTACCAAGTTGCTTAGGTTAGGCTTGATCTTGTAATCTTCCTGCCTCAGCCTTCAGAGTGCTGGGATTACAGGTATGTACCACCATCCACTAGACCTGGCTGCAAGTGGGTTCTTTAGGCGACCCAAAGATGTGCTGAGTCCTACATCCAGGCTATTATGGACACAGAGTGAAACACAAGGTTGGGGCACAGTGGACACTGGGGTCACAGGTAGTCATAAGATCATTCAAAGAGGTAGGAGAGCATAGATAAATAGTGGGCCCTGGAGTCCAATAAGCTCTGCCGCTCACTGAGACCATAGCATCTCAAGCAAGTCACTTAGCCTCTCTGAGTTTTTCCCCCTGTAAAATGGTAGTAAGTATTAAAAAGACCGTGGGAAGGATTTGATGAAATAATACTTTCTTACAGGGAAAGTGAGTAGGGCAGGGCCTGGCACACAATAAGTGCTCAGTAGCTGTTTATCAGGGTCACTACTGGGATGTGATTCAGCGGTAGAGCACTTGCCAGGCACGCTTGAGGCTCTGGGTTCGAGCACCAACACTGCAAAAATAAACTACTACTATAAATATTAGCATTATCTTTACTGAAGTAAAAGTAAAAAGAGAGATTAAGTAAGGGGGAGGAGGGGAGGAAGGAAGTGCATGAGGAGAGGGGAAGCGGGTGGGGAGAGGAAGGCAGGGGGAGGCGAGGGGAAGCAAAGGAAGGAAATTAGTTCTGAGTTAACTGGATTGAGTGGGACCACTCACCGCTCTTTTCCTTTTGACGACCCATGGCCCTTATAATTTTGATTCTGCAAAAAGAAAAGGAAAATGATGTTAACTGTGTATCTACTTGCCTTCCCAGCTCAATTTGCTGAAGATATTAAAGCTCTCAAAGCAGCATACTCAACAATGCTTAGGTCTTGAGACACAAAGGCCCAGCCTGGTCAAGCTCTCATCCATAAAGTCCGGAAAATCAGTGCAGGATTTACCTGCTATCCTTGGAATGAGCTCCCAAGTATCCAGTCAGGGATCCAACTCAGGACCTTCCACTTGCCAGGCAGGCATGATGCCACTGAGCTACATCCCTGGCCCACAGCATCAGGTTTTTGATGTTCCAGAGTCAACTCTGGCCAGGCGTGGAGGCAGATGCCTGAAATCCCAGCACTCAAGAAGCTGAGGCAAGGCTGAGAGTCTGAGGCCAGCCTGAGCTACATAGTGAGTTCAAGGCCAGCCTGGGCCACATAGCGAGACTATCTCAAAAAAAAAAAGGTCCACTCTGAACCCTAGTTTTGAGCACTCAGCTCATCAGGCTCTATGCAAAGGATCTCAACCTTCTACTGTAACTCTGAGGGACCAAGAGGTATAGCTCCATGACAGAACACTTGCCTACCATGGGTTCAATTCCCAGCACTACCAAAAAAAAAATCCTTTATTCTAACTTTGAATGTTTGATGACACCCAGGATCCAGGAGGGAGTTATGTAAGAGACTCGAAGCAATGTTAATTCCTTTCGTCCAAATGGGCCTTTCAAATCTTCTACCTGTGCATATGTGGGGGGGTATAATTGGCCCCCAACCATGTCCAAAATAGTATGCCCTCCATGATGTAAAACTGACCCCTAGGCATGTCCAAAAAGAAAAACTGAAATTAGTTCTCTACAGGATGACATTTGCATCATGGACACACTTGCCACACAAATTTGTTTTCTGTTGTTCTGTAATAAATTACCTCAAATTCAGTGGCTTAAAATACTGTACATTCATCACTCATAGTTTCTATGGCTCAGGAGTATATATGCAGAGCTTAGCTGGATCGCCTCCCTAGGTCTCACAAAGCTGCAGTGAAGGTGATAGCTAAGGACTGTTCTCAGTTTCGAGAGGCTGCCTGAAATTCTTCCCAACAGGGTCCCCGCTGGTCATTCACAGCAGCCACCCAGAGCACTTCCAATCCCACCCCCCCGTTCAAGTTAACTATGAGGGAGTCCTACATAATGTAACATAATCATAGTAGTAACTATCTCATCAAATTCCCAGGCTCCACCCACACTTAAGGGTTGGGAATTATGCATGGCATGTATGGCAGGGGCTGTGAATCTTGGAGACATCTTAGAACTCTGCTTACCATGCCACCCTGCCCTTTAAAAGCATGTGGAAGGAGATGGAGGATACTGCTTTATGAAACTGGCAGAAATCAAACCCCCCAAAAAGAAGTGAAATCATATTCCATTCTGCCAGCCAGGCAGAACTAGTGAAACCAACCGAATCTTTA